TCATAAACACGTTTAGAATATAACTTGATAAAACAATATAAGTAAAGAAAACCTTTGTTTAAAACACTGTTGTAATTGGTTTAGAAGTAAAACATACAGCATGTGATACATTTGGAGAAAATATTTAAAAAAGTAAAGACGTTTTGGAAAACCATCTATAGTGTTATACTTGGTAAAACAGCTGAAAGTGTGATAAATCCTTGTGCATGCGGGTTATTAATCACATATGATTGATATGATAACTAGCATGTTTCAACTTATATTCCCCCCCCCCCCCATAAAAGCATGAAAAAACATTTAAAAGATTAATTCAGGGGTATGAACTCACCTGATGTAAGTGGATCGGGCAGAGGTGCCGGTTGGGTGCTCGGTGTCAAGTGAAGTCTTGAACACACTTAGTGACCTATTAACATATGATGACATATGTTTACATACAATTAGTAATTATAATACTAATTAAACATGTAAACGCATCCTAATGGGCGGAAAACACTTTGGTCAAGTGCTAGGGGCTATTGGGTTGCAAATAGGGGAGTGTATGGCCTAGACAAGGAATTTACTCTTCAAGAGTAAACTCTTTATAGAGTTTATGGACCTAAGACCATATCCCCATGAGTTTACGGCCGTAAACTCATGGGTAGTGTGTTCTTTGATGCTTCAAGGTCTTATCTCACTCATAGAATCATGCTAGAGTCGAATTAAGGGCTAAGGAAGTGATTTGGGGCTCAAAATGGACACAATAGGGAGTTTACGGTTCATTGACCACGCCTTGAGGAGTTTACGGCCATAAACACGTGAGTTTATAGTAGTAAACTCACCTTAGTCCATTTCTTTTGTGCTTTGGTGGTTCTAGACTATGTAGGCAAGGTTCTAGTCACTTATATGAGCATAGGAAGGTGTTAAAGGCACTTAAACACCTTGGAAATGTGTTTACGGTCTCTGAAGGTGTTCTTGGGGAGTTTACTACCTTAAAAACACGAGTTTAGGGCATTAAACTCATGTTATTCCATGAATCATGTGTTTTGGTGCATCAAATGAAGGATTACAAGGCTCTAGGCACTCATGGAAGCTTTTGGAGGTGTTTGAGGGGTAGTTTAACACCCAAAAAGGTGTTTATGGTCCTTGAAGATGGGTTTACAGTCTAAGAATGTCCTTAGACTGTAAACTCGTGTTTACTCCCCATTCGTTAAGATTTTGGTGTTCTAAGTCCTTTCATGTAAGCCCCTAAGTCATAACTAAGCTCCATAAGTGGTTTGGAAGGGTTTTTGAGCATTAAAACCCCATTTATGAGTGTTTACGGTCCAAGAGTGTTCTTGGACCATAAACTCATGTTCTTGAGGGTTTTGGGTAATTTAAACACGAATTTGTAAGTTAAATGTTCTAAACAACAAGTTAGGGTAGATCACTTACTAGTTTGGGGCTTAAAGGAGGCGATTTTGGACCAAACCCGATTTGTAGAGAGAGAAAGTAGAGAGAGAAAGTGTCTAAGGTGGGGAAAAGGGTGGGATGAAACCCACTCAACCCTTATATAGGGTAGAGTTTATGGCCTGGTTGGGGGTTCACCCGACACCAACCGCGAACGGGGTTTTTCACGACTACCGTTAAACACGGCAAAATTTTAAAATTATACCTCCTTAATTTTTGGTTCGCTTGACGAATATTATTTAAAATATTCCAACGGGTTTAAATACGGTTAAAAATATTTTTGGAATAAATTTGGCTAATTTTTGACGTGCTTAATTTCGTCGTTAAAACTAACGAAAATTTTTGGGTTGTCACAATTAATATATTATAAGTTATAATATATTAATATGAAATCATATTATTTAATTAGTATTGATCAAGAATTATTTTGGAATTACTTTAGTGATCAAAAGACACTAGTTAAATATGGACTCATATAGTATGGACTAATATTATTTAGGATGGGTTAAGGCTACATGGATAGTCTATGGAGCTTTTAACCCATGGATCCTAAGTAATGTAGAAAGTCATTGGTATTAGGGTTTACCCTAATCTTGCATACTATATAAAGGAGTCATTGGCTCAGAAAATTGGGACTAGTATGTGAAAAAGAAGTGTGGCCGATTTCTAGAGAGCTCCATATTCTCTCAAGTCTTCCAAGTTGTTTTGGTGATTTGTGATTCCACTTTAGGCATTCACATTATTGGTGCTAGGATCTTAAAGCTCCAACGAATCAACCACAATAAAGATATGTAATTCTATCTAGTTTTGTTATACAAGTACTTATGATTATATACTAGTTAGGCTAATACCTTGGAAACTTCAACTTTGCATGTATAATAGAGAAAACATAGATCCAAGGTATTTTGGGTTGTATGTACATCTTAGGAGTGATAGAATGCTCAAAACCCAACAAACTCTTGGTAAGCTACTCTCATACGGTGAGACCCGTCCTTTTTCTTCACAAACAAAATCGGTGCTCTCCATGGTGAATTGCTTGGTCCAATAAATTGTTTGCCCCAGAGCTCCAAGAGTTGGGAGGAAAAATCCTACATCTCTAGCGGTGCAAGGCGATGTGACTCCTTAACAATTCGGCTAGCAAAAGGGATCAGATCGATCCTAAACTCAACTCTCTAACTACTACACATCTGTAACCAACTTCTTCCCCTCAAATCGAGTTTCGGCAACATATGCGAGATACCCCAAGAATTTGTGTTGAAGATATTGCCAACCGCTAGCAGCAAAACAAAAATTCGAACCAACCATGGTACCCTCACCATAAATCGTTATCTCTCCGCCACATGGGGTTCGAACCACCACTAACTGCCTCTCGCAATTGATCACGGCTCCAAATCTACTCAACCAGTCCATCACCACAATACTGAAATTTATGTTGACTCATGAATTATTTACTGTGAAAATCTCTCCTATAAATTAAGCTTCTATGTTCGTCAGTTTTAGAGAGAAGTGAGAGAGAAGTTTTTAGAGAGAGAAAGAAGAGATGTGTGTGGATGTGTTGGAGAATGAGAGTGACAACCCAAATACATAAACCCATGTATTTTGTACCCTTTTGTAAACACTTGTTTTACATAAAATCGAGCTTTAAATGAACTTTTTGTTACTTATCCAATGCCGGATTGATCTTTGAACAAATATCGACCAGTCGCTCCAAGAGTCCCAATATCGACTAGTCCATTCAAAGAACAAATATCGACCAGTCGCTCCAAGAGTCCCAATATCGACCAGTCCATTCAAAGAACAAATATTGACCAGTCGCCCCATGAGTCCAGTTCAGTCAATTTATTGACGAACCTACTTGATATATATTTATATATTTATATACTTTATTATAGCTTTATGTCATTTAAATATAGTCATTTATATTATTTATAGCTTTATGTCATTTAAATACAGTCATTTATATTATTTATAGCTTTACGTCATTTAAATACAGTCATTTATATTATTATAGTTTTCAGTCATTTACAGCTTTCATATTTATACTTATTCCGCAATTATTATTCGTTATATATATATATATATATATATATATATATATATATATATATATATATATATATATATATATATATATATATATATATATATATATATATATATATCTTATATCTTAAACTGAAATATCTGTCACACAGTAACTGGTAACCGAGCCTTTTGTTGTGGTGATCAGATTGTTATATTTCCAACAAATCGGTATCTGAACTGATATATAAAAAGAATAATATCCAACTGTCTCGACTGGTTTACATCTCTAAACTTATCAATCATTCCTTCATGTAAATATATATGTGGTTATACTATATGTATCCCCTTTATTTATATAAGTTGTCAAATCATTAGGATACATACACCCAGTCACACATAACTACACGAAACATACCAAAGAAACGGGAACCAATATGTATTAAATTAGCCATCTATATTTTGCCGGTTGGTTAAGATGTTCTTTTGTGCAAAACTTTAACATTGCTGTAAAGAATTTCATATATACACTTCATCACACCTTTTAGTCTTAACATATCATTCTTTCTTGTAAATATATATGTTGAAAGTTACATGTTCTTTTTGTGTTGAACTATATAGCTGTTGTAAATTAAGAATTTCCTATATACACTTTGTTAGAATGTGATGAGGTGAAATGTGTAAAAATATCAAATAGTGCGTTCCATGAAGTACTTGATTCCTATTCCTGGAACAAATTTTTGTAAGTCCATTCTTTTTTACATTACTATTGACATTATTTGTCCTCATTTTAATATCAAAAGAAATGGTAATTAAAGTTAACTCTCATCTAAAGAAGTATATAAGTTGATTATGGTTATGGCTAATAAATTAAATGCATTCTTTTTTACATTACTATTGACATAATTTGTCCTCATATAAATATGAAAAGAAATCGTAATTAAAGTTAACTCTCATAATAAATTTAACTAGAAACACTGGTAACATTAAACAACCTTTCTTTTCTTTAAAAATTGGTTGAGAAGTATTTGTTTGGGTTTCCGATTTCAAAATGCCGTTTTGATGAAATCCAAGTCTCTCTGACATGGTACGGTGGCCAACGGTGCAAAACTAACAGCTAATTCATATCAAGTAGGTGCAGAAGGAGGGTTAGAGTGTATACACTGTCTCAAAAGCTTGGCAATATCCTCACCGGAGTCATTAGGAAGTGGCCTGATGGAGAAATAAGTTAATTTGCAGAAAACTAGTGAACAAAATAGCAGTAGCCTATTGGTTCAGATCGTTTAAAACACACACAACACACACTACTCATGTATATATGATAGAAAGAAGATTAATTGGCAAGTCTCATTGAATACTACATCTTGCCTAACTGCACACGTTACATACAAACACAAAATACATACATATAACGTTACATACAAACACAAAATACATACATATATAGGAGGAGATTAGTCAATATACTAACACCTAATCAATATTTTAAATACTAAACAAACCCATGAATTACTCCTAAAGAATAGGTCCCCATTTATTTCCCAAAGACCAGGTCACATTTTGATTACAGTCAGAATTAAACCCAAGATAGCGACACCTAAAGACACCGTCTTCCATGGCGTGCTAAAGTAGATGGTAATCAGCTCTGCTGCCCACGTCTTATACTTATTATTACAGTGATTCTCAATTCCTCGTCGGAGTTGATTAAACACGTGGACATTAACCAACGGTACATCAATCTCATCATACATCTTCACCACTTCTTCATCTCGTCTAAAACTATGATGCAATATGTTGTTGTCTCGTAACTCCTTCACGTCATCATGATGAACAACCAACGATTTCATTAATCTGATATACGTTGAAACTCGAAGGTCATTTGGATTATAGGGGCACGACTCATACGCGATCATGTTCAAGTAAATTGCTTTTGAATTCTCGTACACCGCCCGTTGCACAACCTCAAGCTCACCATAGCAACAATAAGAGTGAAAGTTGATGTCTTCATTATAAGACTCGTCATCGACGTTAGTACGTTTCAAGAAAATCCCTTTAGCTTTGAGTTCATTAACTGATGGAAAAGATTGATTTCGTTTTACATAATTCCATATTCCACTAGTATTTTTCTGATGAACACCAAGCGAGATGAAATGGGACCTGTAAAGCTCGAGGAGATGAAGAGGTTGCTTCATTTCAAGAACCTTTTTTTTCTTCGTGGTGATTTTTCCATAGTTCAAGTAGTTAAAGAACTCATTTAAGATCCTTTCACCTCTATCTTCTGGGAATTGCATGTCCAACAAAACCTGAAGTACTATAAACGGGATTTGGTTCTCGAGCAACAAAATGTCACCAACTATGTGCAAGAAGCCTGATGTGCCTAAATACTCAATATTTAACATCAACATAGTGTTCGGCTCAGTAGCAATGCAATATATAAAGAACAAAACGAAGCAACCATCACGCAACATCATTCCAGTAAACTGCTCGTCGTTGTATTCATCTGTAGAACCATCGACATAACACTTTCTAGCATCTTGTACTACTTCAAACACCTTATTGTATAACGAATCCATGGTGTTTTTGCAGATCAAACAATACTCCTCGAGGGTTATGAGCTTGTATTTCTCGGCTGCAACCAGGTCGTCTCGTTTATGGTGGTAAGGGCCAAGTGAAATCACCGCTGGCTCGTAGCATTGACGGTTTCTTGCACCTTTTTCGCCCTTTAAGAGCAATGGAGGTACCTTCTCCATTTTTCGTTTGCGTTCTGAAATTTGGACGGTTTCATATTGTTGAATGCAGAATTCCCACTCCCGGGCATAGCCGTGGTTAACATTGTCGGCCGGTTCCGATTGATTACTGTGCATTTCGATTCTTACATCTTCACTTTCCGACATCTCTGTCTCTACTGGTTTGAAATTGTCTTTCTGATATATCTGGAATATGTTTATGGTATAAACTATAAATTTTTTTTCAACATTGTGGTTTTTGCTTTATAAAAAATATTTTATTTTCAACAAATAAGTAAAAATCTACTATCGCTCGGACATACTAAAAAAGATCTTCTGATTTCGGCAAACATAATTCATTATTTAATTGTACATTATAATATAAGCTTTAAACTTGATTTTGAAAGTAGACTTTCTAAAAAACTTTAATAAATTTATAACTTCCTAACGAAGATAACCATGAAACTATAGTTTTTTATTCTTTCTGTTTTACTTATGTTAGGCTTAGATTACATTTTAATTATATATCCGATAATTTTTTGTGGTTGTATTCGGTATTATTAAAATTCAATTATATTTGCAATCAATTTTGTCTTACACCGGAAGATGTATTGTTTAATGGTTTGTATCCAATGTACATACCTAACTAATGTAGAGGATCAAATTTAATGACTTGTTCTAGTGATCCACTTCCTTATATTATTATTATTATTAGATGAATGCCCGCGCGTTGTGCAGAAACATCTATATAGTTGAAGTCTTTATAAAAATATGATTTTTGAAATATAACAATAACGTTGTTGTTAAATTTGATATAATAATTTGTATATACTAAATTGATATAATATATTGATTATTTTGAATTATATGATAATATATACATTTATTATAACTTCTTAATCTCAATCGTTTGAATGACTTTTACCCGCGAGTTACACATGAATAAAATTAAATATAATATATGATTTGATGTTATTTATAGTTGTTTTTATTGTTAATTAATTTTTTTAAATTTATTTGCTTATTTTTTTTTAATTTCTATCATTATAATTATTTAAAACATCAAACATTGTTTTTTTATTTTAAAGCTAACAATATAATCATTTATATAAAGTTGTTTTTAACTATTGTTATTATAAGTTATTTTAAACTACTTATTTCGAAACTTATAACGATTATAAAAATATATTTAAGAAATATTTTAGTTAAATTGAAATTACAATTTAGTTTTTGCATTTATCACTACAATTTATCACTTTTAACTATTTATAAAATATTCTTTAGTTTTTTTAAATGGAACTGAAATTTATAATTGAGTTGATATTGTAATGCGCAAAAACACCTATATAGTTGAAATCCTTACAAATATATATTTTTTAAAATATAACACTAATGCTGTTGTTAAATTTGATATAATAATTCGTATATTAATTCGATATAATATATTGACTATTTTGAATTATATGATAATATATAAATATATTATAACGTCATAATCTCATTCATTTGAATGACTTTTACTCCCGAGTTACACAACAATAAAATTAAATATTATGTATGGTTTAATATTATTTATAGTTGTTATTTTTAACTAATTTTATAAACTATATTTGCTTAATGTTTTAATTTCTATCATTATAATTATTTAAAACATCAAACATTATTTTTTTATTTTAAAGGTAACAATATAATCATTTATATAGAGTTATTTTTAGCTATTGTTATTATAAGTTATTTTAAGCTACTTATTTGAAAATTTTTAACGATTATATAAATATATTTAGGAAATATTTTAGTTAAACTGATATTATAATTTAGTTTTTACATTTATCACTATAATTTATCACTTTTAAGTATTTACAAAATATTATTTGGTTTTTTTAGTGGAACTAAAATTTATATTTAAATTGACACTGTAATGTTATATTTAAATTAACAATTTAAATATTTTGTCCAAAATGTCAAAAATTGTAGCTTTAAACTAATAATGGTTTACATGCTACAACATTTAAAATCTAATAAATTAAGTATAATATGTTAAAATTTAAAGACATAACTTTATAAATAGAAGTAAAGATATTATTTTAAAATTTAAATTTAGTCTATTTATGATTATACTTTAGGTTTAATATTTATTTAACCTTATTAACCAACCTACAATCATTATTAGAAAGACACTACAATTTATCACTTTTAATTATTTATAAAATAATCTTTGGGTTGTTTAAGTTCAATAAAATTTATATTTAAGTTGAGCCTATAATGTTATATTTTAATTAATAATTTAAGTATTTTATACAAATTGTTCAAAAATTATACCTTTAAAATAATAATGGTTTACATTCAAAAATATATTAAAACTAATAAATTAACTATAATATGTTAAAAGTTAAAAAACATAATTTTATAAGTAGAATTAAATATATTATTCTAATATTGAAATTTAGTTTATATATGAATACACTTTACATTTGATATTTATTTAACCTAATTACCAAATTATAATTATTATTATAAAGAAATTGAAAAGATATGAGAGTTTCAAATGAATGTGGTGAAAAGAAAAAAGAATGGGGGTTTCAAATGCATGAGATTTAAGAAAAAATGCTAGCTTTATAAGTATGTATGATTATTATTATTAATATTTTTTAGAACATACCTAACTAATGTAGAGATTCAAATTTAATGCATTGTTGGTCTATCATTTTTCTTGCATCGTTAATAACTAATTTCATTTTTGCATCTTAATAATTTTTCTGTATAACTGAATGACTTCCTACAATAATAATGCATCCATGAATTTATATATATATATATATATATATATATATATATATATATATATATATATATATATGCCTACTACTATCCCGGAGGCATATATACAACAATGTAATGACTGGTCGGTTAATTGGGACCTTTTAGGCGATAATCGAGTTCATCACAATCCTTTGTAAACATGAACAAGTAGTTTTCTCCACTTAATAAACACACACACACATAAGCAACAATTAGTCCACCCTATTCCATATGTATTTCCTCTAGATTGCTGGTCTATCATTTTTCTTGCATCGTTAATAACTAATTACATCATTGCATCTTAATAATTTTTCTGTATAACTGAGTGACTTCCTACAATAATAATACATCCATGAATATATATATATATATATATATATATATATATATATATATATATATATATATATATATATATATATATATATATATATATATATATCTACTACTATCCCCTGGCATATATACAACAATGTAATGACTGGTCGGTTAATTGGGACCTTTTAGGCGATAATCGAGTTCATCACAATCCTTTATAAGCATGAACATGTAGTTTTCTCCACTTAATAACACACACACACACACACACATATATATATATATATATATATATATATATATATATATATATATATATATATATATATATATATATATATATATATATATATATATAATGGTGGACGCAGAATTTCACAGTAGCAGTTACACACAAAAATCAGGGGTTGCACGATAATAAAAAAAAATAAAAATTTTAAAAATTATCGAAAATTTACAGTGCGTTTGAAAAAGTCAGGGGCTGCCCGGTGCCACCAAGACCACCCTAAATCCGCCTCCGTGTGTGTGTGTGTGTATATATATATATATGTATATATATATATATATATATATATATATATATATATATATATATATATATATATATATATATTGGAAAAGTGAATACACCCTTAAGGTTATATAAGCTTAGGTACCCAAACTCACCATACTATGTTGTTTTGTATTATATGTGTACATTGTAATTGTCCAATGTTCTTATAATTCAACTTCTAACTTGATTTACTTCTAAGATTTTTATAAATTTCACATTTATCTTCCTTTTACATAATTTTCATTTTCAACTTTAATATATATAGCCTAATAGGTGTTCGGTAAAAAGAAGTGATATAAAAGGAAAACAATAGTGAAATTTCGAAAATCTTCAAAGTAAATCAAGTTAAGGTTGAAGTTTAATAACATTATAATGAATATATCAAACAAAACAACTAATTATAGTGAGTTTGGGTACCTAAGCTTATATGCCCTTAAGGGTATATTCACTTTCCCTATATATATATATATATATATATATATATATATATATATATATATATATATATATATATATATATATATATATATATATATGTATATATATATACCTTTGTTTTTATGTCGAACGCATGACTTGATTTGCTTGCTTGAAATGGAGTCATATAAAAATCCGTAAGATGCTTAATATATAATAGCCAAAAGTGAAGGGTGCCTTCATGTGTTTAGAGAATATATAATTTGCTTCTAAATTTGGCCAACTTAGCATCTACCTTCTAAATTCAATCTTACTCATTTTGATATATATTCCCATGAACATATAATTTGCTTGTAACTTTGGCCAACTTAGCATACTAAAATTAGTCTTACTCCTTTTGATATATATATATATATATATATATATATATATATATATATATATATATATATATATATATATATATATATATATATATATATATATATATATATATAAGCGAACTCCTTTTAAAGGAGCAAACGAACGAACTATCCGTCTGTTTTTCTCATTTTTACTACATGACTACAAGAAAAACACGATTTTGCTAGAGAAGGATTCCGTAGCAAAAAGCTGAAATTCCATTGTCAAGGATGGTTAGCGACGGAATTTGTGACGATCGATTTTCATCCCAAAAAACTCCATAGTAAGTGTTTGCTAAGGAAACAATCACTCCGTCACAATTGTGACAACATAATGAAATCTGTGGTAGATGGTATTTCGTCTTGTATTTTGTAGTAGGATTCCATCACAAAATATTTGGTAGTTATTCCATCACAAATTTCGTTGTAATTAATCCCTAGTAAAATACGTTTTGATGATTCCCTAGAAAATGTTGTGGTGGTTAATCCCTAGTAAATTATGTGATGGCCATTCCCTAGTAAATTCCTTGGTGGTGATTCCCTAGCAAATTCCGTCGTGATTAATCCCTAGCAAATTCCATTTGATAACTTCCTAGCAAGTTCCATGGTCATGAATCCCTAGCAATTTTCGTGGTGTATATTATATAGTAGATACCATATGGACCGATGGATAGTGATTTATAATTATATCCAAATTATTTTTTAGTAATGAAAAACAAAAATAACAAAAAAAAAAAAATTAAAACATTATATCATAAAATAATACAATAATTATTTATTACATGGAAAAAGGAAATTTGTTAATCTAAAATAAATACTTTGCAATAAACATATGTCAATACACTTTATGACCTACTACTAGTGTTGTTGTTTTCTAAAGACGTTAATAACATTCATTGTCGTTTGAAGTTTTTTTTCAAGATGACCGACCCTTGCTTTGTTTTCTTCTTGTTGGGCCTTTATCATTTCTTTAAGCTCTTCCGTTTTGCTCGTTTTGTTTAGCATTAAGCTCCATCATTTCTTCTATTTCATCATTTTTTTTGGAATGTAAGATACATCCGTTTTACTAGTTCCTATTGGGAACCGCCTTTGCAAAAGAGCTTAATCCATAAAGTCTTCTTTTTTTGTCATGGCCACCAACAACATCATAAAATAGCTTGTCCTCCTCAAATTCAGCACCTTCAACCCCCAACTCTTTCAGTTTTTCTGTATACAAAATAAAAATAATATAAATTAAAAGATATCAAAGTTGTGAATGATATTATTGTTGGAATAGTGTCTAAGGCTGCAACTATATTACGCAAGTATTTGACCCGATTGAGCATGGTCCTTTTGGGTTGCCTTCACCATAGCAACTTGATAGGATGATTTACAATGAGAGTTGAAATATTATAAGGACTAATATTATTGTTATTTGATTAATATAAATCATAAATTAATTAGGAATTAATTTGGTGATTTAAAGAGATTAATTAAATAGAAGGGCTTAAACTGCCAAGTGTATGATAGATATACTTTAGGCTATAATCCCTTATGGATAATGTGGTGGATGATTTTAGGGCTTAGGATAGACCTAAAATCCGTCCAAGGTTATCATGAAAGGGATTAGGGTTACTTAGGGCTTAAGTTATCCAATTAGGGTTTAAAGGTCCCTAGGAGCCTTACAAGTATAAATAGACCCTTGGGGTCATGGAAATCGGCACCCTTGTCTCTAAGGAAACCCTGACCGATTTCTAAGTCCCTCCCCACTCTCTCAAATCAACCTCTTGCTAGTTGGTGTTTGTAAGCCATTAGAGGAGTGACAATTGTGACTCTAAAGCTCCAAGAACAAGAAGATAAAACAAGTGATTCAAGGTAAACTTATAACTCTGATTTCTCTTTGTTATTATGCTAGAATAACCATTATAAGTCTTGGATTCATGCATGTTCAATTAGAGAAACCTAGATCCGAGCATTAGGGTTTGTATGTGCACATAGGAATGTTCATATGGCCAAAACCCATCAATTATGGACTAGCTACAATATAAAAGTTTAACATTGAAATGAATATTACATCGTGAATCTTCGTGTGTGTATATAGGAACAATTCACCATGGGGTGGATCACGTCCTAATTTCATCTTCTGCATAAATACCATAACATGTCAAATATACAGATAAAAATATATAAACATTGATATGATCTACCATTAACAAAATTACCAAAATCAGAAGCTATCTTCGAATGACTTGCGGATCCAGCATTATGTGTAGGTTGTGCTACTCCATCAACCACACCGTTATGCCTATTTTTCTTATTCTGGTCGGATTTTAGCTTGTATGTATCTGTATTCCATTTTAATTGCTAGATTCATGATACATTCCACGTGTCTAAGTTGAGGAAGTGTATAGCCGACGAGTCGGCGGTGGTGCCATTGAGAGATATTCAGGTGGATGCGAGCCTAAATTATGTTGAGAGACCGGTTGTGATTGTGGATTGAAAGATCAAGGTTCTGAGGAACAAGGAGGTGCCCCTGGTTCAAGTCTAGTGGCAGCATTGGAGAGGGTCCGAGCTGACTTGGGAGCCGAAGTTGAAGATGCGGGAGCAACATCCAGAGTTGTTTGTGGAGCAAGACTTCGAGGGCGAAGTCTGATTCTAGTGGGGGAGAATTGTAACATCCGGATTTCCATGTATTATGTTTGATCATGTATTTGAGTAAAACAGAGGGGCTCGACGAGTTGACGCTTAGACTCGTCGAGTAAGATGGCGTTTGTTGACTGGATTAATGAGCGGACTCGATGTGTCGGAAAGGGGGAACTCGAAGAGTCCACGCTGTGGGTTGAAACCCTAAAGCCCCAGGCCTAAGCCCTATTTAAAGGACCTTATAGCCCTCTTGTGCGGCTACCTGTCCAGACAGAGTGGCCCTTGAGAGCTTGAGCGAGTTGAGAGAGTGATAAGTCCATATTGATCGATTTTGGTGTGATTTAGCAAATGATAAGTTGTTTCCAGCAAGAGGAGGTCAAGGGAGCTGTGGATCTAGAGTTTTCAAGTTCAGATCTACACTATCGAGGTATCAAATCGAACTTCCTTCCTGTTTTGGGTTAAGACCTATGATCTAGGGTTTTCTATAACCTTTTAGGACTTGAAAAGTTGAGTTTATGGTCCCTTGTTGTGTTAGAACTTGGATCTAGACCAATAAAGGTCCAGAGAGCCTTCCCCATTCTGCTTTATGTTGGTTTATGGAGGAAAGGAGACTAGGTTGCCATTTTAGAAGCCATTTCACCAAGGAAAGCCTTGGATGCATTGCATGTGAGTCAAGTTCCGACCTTTACATGGTTATTGGTCATGGGGAAGTCAGATCTAAAGTTTAGAGAAGCAGATCTGACCTCAGAAGGTCATTTGAGAGTTGTTATGGGAGCAACTCGCCGAGTCCATAAGTGGACTCGACGAGTCAAGTCGGGGTTAACCCGTGATTCGTTGCAGAGTAACCCGACGAGTGGAAGAGGGACTCGACGTGCCAAGTAAGGCTTAGAAGGATTCAGGGGACCCGTGTGAACTCACCGAGTCGCCCGAGTGCACTCGACGAGTCTGGTCATAGTTGATCGTTGACTAGAGTTGACTTCGTTGGCTATTGGGGTTTAGTAAATGTTTGGACTTTTGAGCCATTGGAGGGGTAGAATGGTATTTTACCCTCTTTAGAGAGCTTATAGAGGGATTAGCATAGTCTTTGAAAGTCGTATTGATTAGAGTAATTATTTTATGTGATTAGGCGGAGGCTAGATCAGTATTTCCGAGTTCGAGGGTTTCCGAGGTGAGTCTTCTCACTATACTTTACCTAGAGTGGTAATTAGAGTTATATGAAAGAGTATGTTGTATGCTATTATATGATGTGATATCTATGTGGTTATGTGTTATATGTGATTCAGAGTTTACAAAGTTAGGACCAACAGGTCCACAGAGTTAGGACTAGAGGGTCCACAGAGTTATGGGACTGGAGGGTCCCATTGAGACACTTTGACAAGAGGTTCATACAGAGTTATAGCCTAGAGTGGCTAATATGTGTTGTATGTGGTATTTTGGGGAACTCACTAAGCATTTATGCTTACATTGTTTTGTGTTATGTGTTTCAGGTACCAGTGAGGATCGCGGGAAGACGCCGGCATGATCAGTACACACTATCGGAGTTTTATACGTTTTGATCTTGGGATTTGTTTTTATTTTTTTGACATGTGATACATTGAGATTTGAGAATATGTATGAATGAAATTACATTTTTAAAAGTGAAAAATTATTTTGAAATTTACGTTGTTACAAGTTGGTATCAGAGCCTTGGTTTGAGGGATTCGGATGCACCTTCGGGCGCATTTGAACTCAAACAGAGGATTTGAGAAACTTTTTTCGAATTAAAACCAAAATTTTTCTAAAAGATTAAAAAGGTTTTGGAAAGAGCAGAGCAGATCAGTAGGTACGATCAACCACCGCCCGAACGGTGATATCCTAAAATACCCTTATATTATGTGTTATGATATATGATATGATATGTTATGCATGTTAGAGTAGGCTAGGTATTCTTATTAGGACTAGAGTGGCCTGATTTGTGATGCCTTAGCCTAGGGGTCTTGCTGCTAGGAGACACTTGAGAGTGAGTAGGTAGCAGCGAGGAGCTTATGAGAGGTCTGCTAGAGAGTAGCTTATGCATAGTGAGAGTAGAGTACTCGGGATTTCGGATCCTAGGAGGAGGACTTGGGGTGACTACTGATGCGGTGTGGACGGTAGTATTGGGCCCGTACTACTGAAGACACTAGATTAGTGCGCAGCCCAAGTAAGAATCCTTAGGGTACTAGGGATCGAGTAGGAATGGGATATCGAGTTTGTGCATACTTGAGCGAGTCTCTGATATATTGTGTTG